AAGCTGTCCTGGAACTCATGGCAATTCTCCTGCCTCAGTTTCTTGAATGCTGAGATTACAAGCATGCATTCATGCTAGGCTCAAATACTAAAGAAAGAAAGAAAAAAAAAACTCTGAGATGGCTCAGAGGTTAAGAGCACTGGCTGCTCTTCCAGAGGACCTGGGTTCAATTCCCAGCAACCACATGGCAGCTCACAACTGTCTCTAACTCCAGAACCAGGGGATCTGACACCTCACACAGACACACATGCAGGCAAAACACCAATGCACATAAAAATAAGAATAAATAAGTTTTTAAAAAGTGATGACATGCAAGTTGCCCAGGCGTGCCAGGGAGGCAGGCAGCCCTTCGAGATCACATCTGACCTGATGAAGGGAGCTTGTTTGGGAGGCTGGAGCCCCGCCCTGCAAATGCAGGAATGCTGGTGATGGATGACGCAGTGATGGGGGAGGGGGAGGTGCCGGTGGCCGGCAACAATGGTAGCTGTCTTTCTTAGTCAGGGTTTCTACTGCCTTGATGAAATGCCATGACCAGGGGAAGAAAGGATTTATTTCCTTTATACATCCAGGTCATGCTCCATCGTGGAGGGGAGACAGGGCAGGAACCTGGAGGCAGGAGGTGTAGCCGAAGCTCTGCGAAAACACTGCTTGTGGCTTGCTCATTTGACTCCTTATCACACAAACACATCACCGTGAAACCATAAACTTCCTTTCTTCTTCAGCCCCTAGACCTCATACTAGAGTCACAGTATAAAACAAACCAACTTTCCAAAGTCCCACATTTACACATTCACACATCTTAGGAGTTCAGTCTCCTTAAGCATCCAAAGTCTGTCAAAGTTCAAGTCTCTCTAAAATGTCCATAGCCTCTCTGAACTCTCATCTCTAAATGGTGGGCTCCTGTAAAAGTCAAAAAAAGTTAAGCACTTTCTTACTCAGGGAGGGAGAACCAGGGCGCAGTCAGATCAACAGCGGACGCGTACTGTCAGACTCAAAAGAGTACTCACAATTTTCTGGACTTCAAAGGGCTTGTCACACACACAGCTTGTCTCCTGAGCTCAGGCTGGCTCCACGCCATGGTCACTGTTGTCCTCGGTGACTGTCCCATGGTACTGGCATCTCCAAAATATTGGGATCTCTGCAGCTGGGCTACACCTTCACCCATAGCCTCTCCCTTCAGTGCTGGGGCCTCTACTGCCACCAGACTGTGCTTTTACCCTGGGCTCTCTTCAGAGACTCCAGGCCTGCACACAGCGCCAAGCCTCAGCTGCTCCCCATGACCCCCTCCAGCTTCCAAAACCAGCACCACCTGGGTGACTCTTACACGTTACCAATTTCCAGCCACGCACTCTAATTGCCAGCATGCACCGTAGCCTTCTGGGCCACAGCTTCTGTGTGCTGGCCCTGAGGAAGGGCTTCCAGATTTGTGATCCTCGGAGATGCTGGTCTCGTCTTAATCATCTCTGACTTCTCAGCTCCAGCTGATCTGCCATAGATCAGCTTCTCTTGTTAATCATCGCTCATTCTTCACCAGAACCACAGTCTTAACTGGAAATATGCAATGGCCCAGATGGTCTTTAAGCCACTCTCAACTTCCCTCTGAAGCATCACAAGCCAGGCTTCCCCCTCTGCCATGCTCTTCCCAGCTCCCATGGAACAGCCTAGTGAGACCTGAGCACTCAACGGCTCTTCCAGTCCATAGTTCCAAAATCTTTCTACAATGCTCCCAAAACACATGGCCAGGTCTGTTACAGAAATAGCCCACAGCCTGGTATCCATTTGTCTTAGCGTTTCCATTGCTGTGATAAAACACCATGACCAAACGCAACTTGAGGAGGAAAAGGTTTGTTTAGCTTACAGTTCCACAGCATACTCCATCACTGGAGAGAGTCAGGGCAGGGACTCAAGCAGGGCAGGGGCCTGGAGGCCGAAGCTGATGCAGATGCCATGGAGGGAACTGCTTACTAGCTTGCTACCCAGGACCGGCAGCCCAGGGGTGGCACCACCCACACCAAGCTGAGTTCTCCACCAATCATCAATCAAGAAAATGCACCACAGATTTGCCCACAGGCCTACAGGTGGGGGCATTCTCCCAACTGAGGTTCCCCCTTCCAAAATGACTCTAGCTTGTGTCAAGGTGACACAAAACTTGTGGGCACAGTGGTGATGGTAAAGACGGCCTTTCCACCAAGTCCCAGGCCCCCCTCCCCACTCCTATGCTGAAGGTCTTGTCACCTCAGGGCTCCATGCCAAGAGCACACTGGGGATCTCTAGAGTTACTGGAAGGCTCTAGGTGAGCGCCTGCCTTTGCCCCTCACTGTGGTCCCGTGGGGGGGGGGGGGCTTCAGGGAAAGGAGCTAGTCTACACCACAGGCTGTGTGAGCCAGAGCTGACCGGCTCCTGCTTCTCAAGGGCCAAGATCCAGGTGCTGCCCACTCGCCAGGGCAGAGATTTCCTAAATCACCCAGGGTCTCCGGCAGAGTGAGCAGCAGACATTAATACGCCCCTTGATCAGTGAGCCACCAGTGAGACTCCAGCATGACACAGAGGGCTGCACCCTGGGGCCTTTGGCAGTTAGGACAGACACACCGTGACAGCCTGGGTTAGAGGTGGGTGTGTTTTCCCTGGGGCTGGGGAGTCAAATCTGAGTTTTGTGCTTGGTGGTAAGCTTTCTACCAACAGAGTGAGACTCCACCCCCAACCCCTCTCTGGGTTTAGTCAGTGAGAAAACAGGGCAGAACTGTGCAGTATCTATCCTGTGCAAAGTGTGAAAGGAAGATCAAGCATGGTGAGGCACACCGTACTCGGGCTGAGGCAGGGGCATTAGTCCTCCTTTGGGTATCATTTTGCACCCAGAAAAGAAGGGCTGGTCACCACTGCCCTGGTCCTCAGCAGGCCAGAAAGTGCCAGCTCTAAGGCTTAGAGATGAATAAACTTTTACAAATAAAGAAATAAACCTTGCATGTGCACGCACTCATACACACACACACACACACACACACACGCACACACGTCCTCACGCACTCACTTTGAGGGGTCCACACTGAGAAAGAAGCAGCCCACTAAACCAGCTACACCCCATTCCTGACCCCAGGCCACCTTTCCTATGTACAGCCCACCCCACCCCCCCAGTTCCGGGTCCCCAGCCACCTGTTGGAGAGGGGCAGGCTGCGCTAGCATGGCAGGCAGAGCAGCCCCAAGGGCTAGAATCTCAGCAGTCCCAGAGCTAGCAGGCTACAACTGGCCGGACTTGAAGGCTTGATGAGACAGCTTCCAGTAGCCCCCACTCCAGGCTCAGTGGGAGAACCCTTCCCTCCAGATGTGCGGGCACATACAACTTCCTCTCAAAACCTTGGTTCAGGGTTGGCTTGCCCAGGTGCCTGCTGCCCCGGGGCATGGACATAAGTGCTCACTGCTTCCGAGATCCCCCTGTAAATGGCGTGGGTCCCAGGAACCCATGCAGAGATGGCAGCTGCAAGGTGGAAGGCTTGGGAATCCGAGGATGCTCATGATAGCAGTAAATTACTTGCAGAGAACAGTCTGAGGTGTCCCAAGACAAGGGTCTTACTCTAGCCCAGGGTGGCCTAGAACCACGTGACCCAGGCTGGACTGTTGGCCTCCACCCTTGGCCTTTGGCTTTCCTCTCCCTATGAAGTATATTTTACAGATACCTGGGTCTCAAATTCACCCACCCGGCCATCTCCTTTACCAGCTCAGAGTCTACACTGACCTTTTTTAATTTATTGTTTTTATTTATTTATTGTTCAACTCAAAAATGTGAGGACTGCTTCCCACTGCCCTTCCGTCCCATCTCCACTGGACACCCTCCCCTGCCAGTGTCCTGCTGGTGGCCAGGGATTGTGCTGTGACAGCCGTGTGTGGAGACGCTGGGAACTGGGTCTCCTCCACTAGCTGACACGACTCCAGCCCCCACTCACCAAGCCCTCCCCCTCCTCCCCCTCCCTGCTCCCCAGACCCCAGCAAGGGCCTTTGTCCTTCCTTTCTCAAGCTTTGATCTATTCTTTAGATCTCCCTGAGAGTCCTTATCAGAGAGGCCTTTGCTAGCAGATAGGAAACTCCATTTTCATCAAGGACAAGACACACTGTGTATCCTCACTCCCTCTCTCCCACAGCTAGGCTGTAAGGACAGAGCCCCGGGACCTACTCCTAGGACCGGTGACAGGCCCCCAGCACATTAATGTTTTGTACACGAGCTGTGGCCTTGGCTTGGTCTGAGAGCTCTGAACTTGTGGTGATCCTCCTGCCTCCGCCTTCCTAGTACTAGGCTCACACCAGCGCACTGACTGCCACACTCAACCTAACCACTCTCTTACCTTAAGTGTGGTCCCTAATACCCCGTTTCATGGGCCGCCTCCCATGCATCTCAGCATGTAAACAAAACCTCCAGCTCTTTCTCCCTCAACATTCTCTACACTAACTTTACTAGTGTTCACCAAACATGTGTGTACAGGAGGCAGAGGCAGGAGGATCTCTGAATTGGAGGCCAGCCGATCTACGGAGTGAGGCCCCGTCTTGAAACCAAACAATAGTGGTTTGCAGCCTTGCTTTCTAGACAAGGAGCTGTTCCAAGTGCACCTCGTTGTAGAGTGTGGGTGTGTTTTCTTCAGTGACAAGATGGCTGTCAGCACTCCAGCTCCGTGTTTTTCCTTGGCCACCTCAGCAGAGGGGGAGGGGGAGCCCAAGCTGGGCCTGTCCTCCGAGTGGTCAGGGCAGCTGAGGCCCGTCTTCAGCAAGTCCTCCTATCTCACCCTAGGGGAGGCGGGGAGGGAACCCTGGGAAACTCCCTCCTTCAGAGCGTGTCTCTGCCTCCGCTGACATTTAACAGCACGTGAGGGAAGAGCACCAGGGGATGCCGTGGGATAGGCCTCGAGGCCTGTGCATCCCTCCTAACTGGGGAATCAATCATCTCTGCAGCTCCAGGTGTCACCACCTACAAATGCAGTCGATAAGATCACAAAAGCAGCAGACACACGAGCAGCTGCCAGGAGCTGGTAAACTTTATTCTACCAGCAGTGTTCAGAGATGTACAGACCCAGGCTTCAGGGCGGGACCCTGTGCGGCGGCTACTTCCCATGCCACTTCTAGAGATGCAGTGGCTTCTACACACACTAGTGGCCCTAGTTCAGGGGCTGGCTTCCAGTGGCCTGCCCCAACCTTGGGGCCCAGGGCTTGGGCGCTAGTCTTTGAGAATGAGCGGCGCCTTCACTTGCTCAGCCGCCTCCTTGCCGCTGAGCGCCTCCACGATAGCCAGTGCAAACTCGAAGCTGGTCCCAGGCCCACGGCTGGTGAGGATCAGGCCATCCCTTTCCACACGGCTCTCTGAGTAGCTGTAGTGACCTACAGGGGACAGACACAGTTGCTCTATCTAGGTTGTGTTAGCCACACAACACCCACCCACCCACCAGTGCTGCCATTTCTGTTCTTGGAGTAAATGAAACCCAAAGCTGCACGCTGGCTGCAGCTACCCGTTTCCTAAGCCCTCCAGGCTACCACGAGCCCTGTGGGGGAGACTGCCAGGGGCAATGGGCACAACGGGGACAACTCTGAGGGGAACTGGTGATGAACGGCTCCACTTTGCCACGGGGCCTCAGCGTGAGGCCAGTGTGCAGGGGCAGGGCGGTGGCCGTGATGAGAAGACACTGGCTGGTCCACAGGCAGAGCCGCCGTCCCCTGCAGCCGGGAGGCGACACCAGCTCCTCAGGCTTTCTTCCTGTCTGCCACCTGCTACTCTGAGCAACCGAGGCAGTGTGGGGCACCCCCAAATCCACTCACCCCCAATTCTCTCCTACAACAGGACCAGGCTCTACAAGTCACACCTGCCCTCCATTGCGCATCTTCCAACCCTCACCGCACAACCCAGGCCCTCCTTTCAGTCAGCCGAGGTGTGTGCCCATCACCCGGCCCCTGGGTCTTGACTGAATGTGGCCATGGAGGCCTGCTGCCTGTCACAGCTGGTCCTCACCCCCAGCACCAGCTGTCAACCCTGCTCTTTTGTTTAGCATCTGCTACTCAAAGTGCCCGGGGCCTCTCCTGCTCTCAGTCTGTCTGAGCAGAGCCCGGAAGCAGGTTCTCAGTCAGGGTGAAAAGTTCCTTGACTCGGTTCTCCCTGGTGGTCCTGTCCCCCTCAGCACCAAGGGCACTGTCCAGGTGCACAGTGCAGAGGGCCCCGCCCTAGGCATCCACAGAGACCCTGTGTTTGGCTATGTGGTCTCTGGCCTCAGCACAGAGGCAAAGGGAGAAAGGGGAAGTTTGGGACAGAACCTTAGGGAGGGCTCCAGGGTAAGGGCTTCTGTGACGGATCGCGTGCGCAGGTGCACAGCTGTCTAGGGGCACCAAGGCACACACTCTGATCACGGACCTCCACACCCAGCTCGGTGGGAGCCCAACATGGCACCAACACGAGACGCTTGGGCATAGCTTCATGTCTACTGTTTCTGCCTGGAGCGAAGAGCTCAGAGCATCCAGAGTTCTCTTCCAAGTGGGTCAGCCATATCAGGAGGAGCTTGCTTTCCTACCTCGTTCAAAACTCACCCCACATGGGATGCATCGGAAACTTTGCATTTATTTATACTACAGAGAAGAAAATGGGGGCCATAACTTCCCGTTTACCCAGCCCTACTCTGACGGCTAAACCAGGTCAATAAACTGGAATGATAACCAGATGATAAACTGGAAACGCAAATGAGCCTAACTAGGAGGTTTAAAGAGGCTGATACTTGTCAACGGCTCCACCTAGTGGCCACAGTGAGGAACAGCCTCAAAAAATGTACTAAGGCAGCCAGGTGTGACTTGAGTTTAGGGTAGATTTGTAAAAATCTCTTCAGGGAAAGGCAAGTGGCGAGGCAGACCACAAGGCAATAACTGAAGGCTGCCACCTGTGTGTGCAAACATGAAGACGTGCAGAAACCCAGTCACTACTTATGCCTTGTCTGTGACGCCTGGGGAACACCAGTGTGGGGTGGTTACCATGGAGACCTGAAGCCCAGAGAGCCACCTCTGCTCCTTTAAGAAGAAGCGGTCAACCCCTGTGCACAGTGGCTTTGGGGTCCAATGCCTGCGGTCTGACCTCTCAGAATGTAGTGTAAGGCAAGGGTACCCGCCCAGCACACACTTCTGAGAAGTACTGGGGAGGGGAGGAGGGGAAAGCTGTTCTCCTTCTCAGAGGGAAAATTCCCACAGGTCTGCCAAATGCATGAGTGAGCCCAGCAGAAGGGCCTCGCCTTCCAGAATGCTTTTAAGGGGCACATGGTCATGGCAGTGGGAGGGGGAGCCTTGCGCTCGCTACAGAAAGGCCCCTGAGCCTCAGTGTGCTGGCCGGGGGACACGGCCCTCCTTGTCAACTGTAGGCCCCAGGCAAGCTGGGGGGACCGTGTAAACCTTCAGCAGCAGGGAAAGAAACCGGATGCCAGGGCCACAGCTTAGGTGACGCAGGACAGCTCTTCCTGGGTTGTCCCCAGACAGCGTGCCAGCCACATAGCACAGGCCTCAGGTCCCACCGTCCTTTCCTCCCTGACCTCACTTCATTAGCTTAGCACAAACTCAGCCCGTCTTTACATCACCCGAGAGCCAGAGCCCTTTACCACAGTGACCTTCGCTGCTTTACTGGCACCGTCCAACAACTGAAGTAAAGTGACAGGCACTGTCGACCAAGCTAAGGACACACACACACTCCCGCACACACGCGTGCGCGCACACGCGCACACACACACGCACACGCACACACACACGCGCACACACACACGGGGGCAGCCTTGCGTGTCAGTTTTATGTCATCTGAGAAGAGCCGCCCTCGACTGAGGGAGTGCCCCCACCAGACTGGGCTGGAGAGCGGGGTTCTCACCCTCCCAACGCTGCAACCCTTTACAGTTCCTCAGGTTGTGCTGACCCAACCATAACTACGTCACTGCTACTTCACGACTGTAAGTTTGCTACTGCTGTGTGTCATGATGTAAATATCTGAATTTTCCAATGATCCAAGGCAACCCCTGTGAAAGGGCTTTCAACCTCCTAGGGGGTCTCGACCCACAGGCTGAGGACCATTGCTGTACCCTGGGCTGGCCCACCTGTCAGGCACATGCCTGTAATCCTAGCACTCAGGGGGCAGAAGCAGCCTGGTCTCCAGAGAAAACCCTGTCTCAAACAAAACAAAACAAAAAACCGAACATACAAAAGGAACCAGCCCTAACCCTGAATGGTTCACACTGTGATGGTGGCATTAATGTGAGGTCTGGGGGGATGAACTGGGAAGGCTATGGCTTAATAATCAGTGATTTCCGGGACAGCCAGAACTATCATACAAGCCCAGGAGGTGGATCTCTGTGAGTTCAAAGCTAACCTGGTCTACAGTGATTTCCGGGACAGCCAGAACTATTACACAGAGAAACCCTGTCTCGAAAAAACAGAGAGAGAGAGAGAGAGAGAGAGAAGCTAAGTTCTTCGACAGCGTGGGGTCACACAGGCCTGCAAACCAACTATGGTCCACACCCGGGAGAAACATCAGACATGGCAAATCCCAATGCCAATCTGTGCAAGATGCCTAAGATGAATGCAAGGCTAAGATGAACACTAGGACACACACCTGCTCCCCCTGCTACTTGAGGCTGAGGCAGGAGGATGGCTTGACTCCAAGTCTGCCTATGCAACACAGTGAAATCCTGGCTCAAAACCAGAAGTGGCTGCAGAGGAATCTAATTAGATCTCATCTGAATAAAAAATATTAAACAGGAAGGATAAAGGGCAGTTCTAGAGTTGCAAAAGACACTTCACAGGAGCTGCCCAACAAGTGGGAGGGGGAGGAACATCTGCCTGGCTTTACAACTCCCATCCTGCCTGCAAGCTTCACCATGAAGAGAAATTGCTTTTATACGTTTAATAAAATTCAGCCATGTGTGGTGGTACATGCTTTTAATCCTGAACTCTGGAGGCAGAGGCAGACAGAGAGTTCCAGGCCAGCCTGGTCTACCTAGCAAGTTCCAGGGTAGACAGGGATATACAAAGAAACCCTGTCTCAAAAGACAAAAACAAAAAAACATTAAATGCCTAGCTGAAACTTAGAAAAGAAACATGTCACCAACAAAGCTGGTCTGCCACTTACGACATTCCCGAAGGTCTGCTGCAGACCCTGGGCAAAGGGTCATTCGCCGAAACTGCCCTCGGGGTCTAAATTCTACCCTTGGGCATTCGGTAAAAGTAAAAATTGGCATTTCATAACCCTTCCCATTTTGACAGTCAGGGATGTGGTGCCTCCAAACAGGGACTGACTGGCTGGCATGCTCTCCTTACCCCCTGTGAGTGCCAGCCGAGAGGCACATTTGAAGGAATCGACGCTGCCACACCATGGCCAGGGAGTTCTGAGCACAAGTCACTCACAGCGCGCGCGCACGCGCACACACACACACACACACACACACACACACGCCTCACCCCACCCCTCACACAACCCCCCTTTACAAGATCTATGGTCTTCTCTATGGGAAGATACTGGGTATACTTACTACCATTCATCATTTTGTCCTTAGCCCCTGGGTGTGTTGTAACCTTGCTTCCAAAACCGATTTCATGAGCCAACAGAGCGGTAGGACCTACAAATAAGATGAACGAAAAGATGAGGGTGCAGACAGAGGACCTGTGCTTTAGAGCCTGCACAGCGCTGGGCACGGTGGCGCACACCTTTAATCCCAGGCGTGGGAAGCAGAGGCAGGAAGATCTCCGAGTCCCAGGCCAGCAGGACTACACTGTTACAACCCTGAATAGCATTGCCTAAACACAAACAGAAGGGTGTGTCCGTGAGTGATGGTCCCGTGCAGAACACATCTGTCAAGGTGCACACACTCCCAAGAACTTCAGCTGCTGTTTTTACTAAAGACCTTCCCTCCATCCTGCAGAGCAAAGAGACAGACGGCACCGAGGGGCCGGGACCAATGTGCTGGGAGGTACAAAGGCAAGGGCTGCCCTGCCACACAAACTCCTGTATTACTCTATGGGCATGGTGTTTTGCTGCCTCCATGTGTGTCTGAGCACGGCTGGGTCCCCTGGGATTGGAGGCACACATGGCTGTGGGTAGCCATGCCCGTCTGTTGACTGCTGGTCTCTCTCTCCAGCTCCTGCCCGAGTCTTTAGAAAGGAAAGAGTTCGTTTTGTGGCAGAGACATTGGGGTCAAAGCATGCATGCTTTCTTGCTGCTTCATGACCATTCCTTTCTACTTCACACAAATGCAGCAGCTGGCGGGATTAAGACGGAAGGCAAGCTGAGCCCTGCAGGGAATTGCTAGGCTGAAGTCTGAGGCACAAAGACACTGGGTGCCTTGGAAGCCACTGATGTGAAAAGCCATGCACAGGGTCAGTCATGATACCGGAGGCCCCGCCTCTTACGATGAACTAGGAAACATGAGGACCAGCCGGTCTGTCATCGGTGAGCTCAGTGGAAAAGGCCAGCCTTGGCGATGCTCACGGCACACTGTCCCCACCTGTCCCTGAGCTCTTACTCTGCGGCTGACTGAGTCCAGCCTCCTCCAGCCCTGGCTCCCTCAGAACAGGAGCTCTAGGCCCACAGGCACTCACCACAGCTGCACAGCAGAGCCCGACTGCCACAGAGCACCACTGTCCAGGCGTGCGCCGCTCAGGCCTCACATTCAGACTAGAGTAACCTCTAGAGTCTAAGCGTCAAATACACGCGCTTCTACACCTCGTGTCTTCTCTACACAAAACAGTTGTAGAGGGCAGAAAATGTCATAATTACCACCCAATGTTTTTTATTTTAGGACAAAGGAGTCTCCCTATGCAGCCCTGGCTGGCCAGAACTCACCATATAGACCAGGCTGCCAGACTCACAGAGATCTGCCTGCCTCTGCTTCCCAAGGTCTAGGATTAAATGTGTGGGCCACCACGGCCAGATACCATTCCTTTTTATGTGAATAACTTCACGTGTACTTCTTAGAGTCTCACTGGGGAACATCTTGACTGAGAATCTTATGCCATGCTCTACTTGGCAGAGCTCCTGCCGCTGACCTTGAGGGAAGAGCATGGCCTGGTCAGCTGTTGAGGCCGCTCCCCTGGGGGTAACGACACTGTTGTTTCATGCAGCAGGGCCAGGACACATGGCTGCCTTCCCTGTCATGATAGCTCCTAACTGCTGATTTCTGAGAGGGTTGGGGGGTGGGGTGGGGGTGTCAATCTGAAAACTAAGACAAGACAAAACTGCCATTGCCTGAGCTTCTGATGAAGGCTACGCCTAAAGTTAGCTCTGGGAATCTCTCTTCCTATAGCGACACCTGGTGGACACTTAAAAATAGGACACCCAGCTGTCTGAACTCCTTGGGTACCCTGGCTTCTGGTGAACTGTTCTTACAGGGCATCTCCTAACTAACACCCTGCCAGGACTCCTCCCCCTTCAAACCCCCCCCACCCACACACACACTCAAAGTAAATCTCCTTCTATTTCCTCCCCAGGAAAGCCTCCCGCCGATGATTTTCCTTCAAAGGTGAAGCTAACAACCATATAAAACATGGTACCCGGTCCCTGATGGAAACACCTTGACCTCTTGTTGGCTGAAGCACGTGTCTCTTCCATCACTGCCTAAGTTATCCCTGTTTTCTCTGTTCTTCATTCCAGGATGGTGGCACAGGAGTCAGTGCGATTAGCATACTGCTAGTACTGTTTTGTTTTTAATGTTGATTTGATGCACAGGGGGGCCCAGGCATTCCAGCATGCCTCAGCAGAAGAGAGTGAGCCAGCTAAAGCTGCTGATGTTCTACTCAGTGATGCGGAAGAACAAGATGACACCACATTTTAGTTTCAGCCAAGTCACAAGGAACAAACCCAGGAAAATGCTAAGGAGGCTGGTGTCCCAGATCAGTGAAGAACACTGGCCCGTCTGTGACTCCCTGCCCACAGAGGACAGCTCAAGGCTGCAGGGATCGCAGGACCACCCACAAACACACACCCGTGAGCTGTAGGAGCTAGGACAGCACGTCCAGGGCAATGCCTAGGTGCTCCAACTGCATCTGTAACGGTTCTCAAGCACGCAATGCGGGGATCCCGGGCTGGCTATGCGGGCAATGCCCCTTCTGTGTCATGTGAGGGTGCTGGGAATGGAACCCAGGCCCCACACATGCTAGGCACACGCTCTACCCCACGCTGGGAATGGTTAGAACTCCTATGCTCTTCCCCCTTTCTCTTCTTTGCAGAGAGGCTCCTGTTATGTAGCTCAGGGAGGTCTCGAACTCATGAACCTACTTCTACATCCCCTGTGCTGGGATTACAGGTTGGTCTCCATAGTCAGCCCAAGACTGGGAAAGCTCACAGAAGGAGACTACAGCACAATGCCTTGCCTGAAGGGTGGCTTCGACAGCTGGATGTCATTCCAACGGGATGCGGACAGAAAGCAGGCACAGATGCTCCTGCTGGATCTACTTTGTCCCACGGCTAAGACAGAGTCCCTCGGTCCCCAAATAAAACCACCCATCCCTTCGGTCATGGATTCATTTGTTCTGTGACACATGTAAAAGGTGTCCAACAAGGAAGACGCTGGCAAAAGTGGCCCTACCCAGACGCCAGAACATCACCTGATATTAGAGAATGGGAACGGGGTTTAGCGGAAGCAAACACAAGGCTCAGGATGTGTACGAGACCCCAAAAGACCTTAAGTGAAGCCATGGGTGTCAGGTGCACTGAGTGAACACAGCAGGCCAGAGGCAGGAGAGACCCGGCTAGAGCTGTGGCATTCACGCCACAGATTCTTGCTGACTCTCCTGGCAGGCCGGGCTGCTGGCACAGAGATCTGCTGGGACAAGCTGTCTGCTGGATTCCAGAGGCCTTATCCCCAGGTCAACCAACCAGGGAGAGCAGTGAGCTTCACACACTCAAGACCCAGAGCATGGAGACAGACAGGAAGCTCGACAGTCACGTCAGCGCTGCAGCGACACAACCCCACGGCACCCTAACCAAACACCCGGTGTGGGCGCCCTCGGGTCACAGAGGCAAGCGGTGTGCACTCAAACTTCCAGGCAGGCCGGCCCCTCGGCCGGCTGCGGCGCCCACGCCCTGCACTTACTCACCCGCACAGATGGCAGCTATGAGCCCCTTCCTGCTCTCCTGCTCCTTCAAGAGCTCCTTCACCACAGCCGACTAGAGAGAGAACACAAACACCCAGTCACCACAGAGAAACTCAAAGGAGAGCTGGGAGGCTCACTCGAGGCTTAGCTTACTTCCACCTGTTTTCCAGAAAGCTCCAATCAGTAAACACCAAAGTGACAGGTTCCTACATCCACCCCCCGAGAGAAAGGCCCACCTCAAAGAGGACGGGCAGGAAAAAGCAATGTCACCAGGACAGGTAATCCTGGCCCCGTGCTCTGGAAGGGGCAGGAGTAAGGGGACACAGGGTTCAGTAGCTTCAGATGGCAGAAGGGAAAAGCCCCCAGTGGGAACAATCCACTGGCTGCCCGCGTGCCCACAGCCCACTCCCCACTTCTGATGCCCTTACACGGCTGTGGCAGAGCCGGGACGTTTGCACCTATGGCCGGCACCACCCCGGTGCACAGCACAACACAACAGGTCAGAGCAGAAGCTGCGAGGCTTTCTGCATGCGCGTGTCACGGAGTTGTGGCAGAGCAGTTTTTACCTCAGATAAATTCTGTGCACCCAGATTGCCTCCCGGAAGAACCACCACGTCGTATGGTCCCTGTGAGCAGGGAAATAGAAGGGAACATTTTATTTAACTGTGTTAAATGGTAGCCCAGTAACAGCTTCCTATCTAAAGTCACACATCTGCCACAGAATGGGGGCATGCGCACGGAGATGGGATTATACATGTGCTCTCTCAGACAGCACAAGTGAGGCCCTGGGTCTGAGTCTCCAACACTAAAGATGACTCAGTGGGAGGCACAGTGGTCACACCTGGAGGAGGAAGCAAAGGCAGGTAGATCAAGGGTTCAAGGCAGCCCTCAGCCACATGCTAAGTTTGAGGCCAGCCAGGTATACATACACAAGACCCCGTCTCAAAACAACAAGAAATCAAACAAATAAATAAAGGTGTATCCCTACTGTGTAACATTGTAACCAAAAATAAAAAAAATAAATAAAAAGTACAGACATGAGGGGCTGGAGAAATGGCTCAGCAGTTAAGAACTTTTGTTGGGGTTCACTTGCTAACACCTACACAGTGGTTCACAACGCCATATAACTCCAGCTCCAGGGGAATCCAACACCCTACCCTCTTCTGTCCTCTGTGAGTAACCACACAGCGCGTGCGCACTCACACTCGCACAATCTCTCTTTTTAAAAAGGTTTGTATTTTATGTAATGAGTGCTCTGTCTTCACACACACCAGGAGAAGGGATCTGATCCCATCATAGATGGTTGTGAGCTGCCATGTCGTTGCTGGGAATTGAACTCAGAACCTCTGGAAGAGCAGACAGTGCTCTTAACTGCTGAGCCGTCTCTCCAGCCCCAGAATCTCTCTTCTAAAATGAAAGGACATCCTGGGAGAGGTGTAGTGCAAATGCCCTTGTGTAGAGACCTTGCAACAAAGGAGAGCCACCACACTCAGGCACACAGACAAACGGACAGAGACATACATGCAAATGAGTGCAGCGGAGATGCTCAGACAAGAGACACCCAGCAGCTGACAGGGACCAGCAAGAGAGGACGGCAGAGGAAAGGGGTGTAATCACTCAGACTTTGTATGTAAACGTCTCCCCGCATGACTGGTTCTTCACCAAGAATACATGCAGTGATTTTAAAAAACGAAAAGAAAACAAATACTGGAAGGCAAAGAAAAAATTTAACATGATGAGAGCTGAAACTCTGCAGAGAGAAAATGTCTTAAAGCTTGCTGAAATTAAAAAGAATTAGAGAGAAGAAAGCTGTTCTAACGGTAATCAATAGCTGTCATCGATTTAATCTCTGTGTGCTGGGCATGGAACCCACAGCCTCATACATGCTAGGCAAGTGTTCTACCACTGAGCCCCATCATCTCATGCTCCTTTTATGAAATGAACCAAATGAACATATTTGAAAGGCAACCACTGTCTAAAACACCCAGATACCACAGGACAGAAAATAACAGCGAAAAAGGAATATTCTACTTCTTGCCTTTGACACGCGTTTTAGAATTTTTCAAGATTTTGTATGTAGATACCAAGAGTCAAATCATCTACAATCTAGCAACGAAATACTGAAACTTCTTTTTTCCCTTGGATTTATTTATTTATTTATTTACTTATTTACTTATTTATTTATTTATTTATTTATTGCGTATAGTGTTCTGTCTGCATGTGTGCCTGCAGGCCAGAAGAGGGCACCAGATCTCATTACAGATGGTTGTGAGTCATGTGGTTGCTGGGACTTGAACTCAGTACCTGATGGGGATGTCTTCGGTACATACATTTCTCTTATTGGTTGGTGAATAAAGCACTGTGGCCACTGAGGCAGGATGATAGATAGGACTAGGAGACAAGGAGGATTCTGGGAAGTGTAGGCAGAGAGCAGTCAAGATGTAGGACACTGGAGGAGTAACACCATGCCAGACACAGCCTCATAGCAATACACTGATTGGGTTAATAATTAATAATTGGGTTAATAAATAACTAATAGTTAAGACGGAGCTAGCCAGTAAGAAGCTCTAGCTATTGGCCAACACCTTTATAACTAATAGAGTCTCTGTGTGTTATTTTGGGACTGACGCAGCTTTCTGGCGGGAAAGAATGCTCTCAACAACTACCTCTGGAAGAGCAGCCAGTGCTCTTAACCTCTGAGCCGTCTCTCCAGCCCAGAAGTGCCGAAACTTCTTAGAGAGCAATGTGTGTCTGTCCATGTGGGGCAGCGTGGGGGAGCTGCACTCATGACCAGCCTTTCTCTCCTTCGCTGCCACGCCACAGCCCATCTCTCATCACCCTGAGCCATGGCCTCTGACCTATGGTAGTGTCTAAGGGTCAGTGGGCAGGGGTGCTTTGGAGGAAAGTGATCCCAGCCTTCCAAAGATGACCAACAGTACCAGTCACGGTACAGTACGAAGAAGCAGATCGGTTTAAGGAGAGTGCTCACCTCTCCCTCAATCGCCTGCTCAGCAATCCCGCAGGAAAGGAGGCCACTCCACCTGTCTGCTGTGCCCTTTCCCGCCAGCCTGGTCCTGCTGTCGCTTCAGCCCCAAATGAACACACAGCTGCTACATCAATTATAAAACTGTTGGCTGGTGGCTAGGGCTTCTTATTGGCTAGCTCTGTCTTAATTATTAACCTGTTTCTACTAATCTGCGAATTTCCACCTGGTCTTATCTAATGGGAAAACGCCTGGTGTGTCCTTTAAAGGGCAACTGTTCTGGCGGGCTCCCTCTACCAGGGAGAGTCTCCTCATCTAGTCCTGCCTATCTTCCCGCCTCATTGGCCAAACAGTGTTTTACTCATCAACCAATAAGAGAAACATATACAAAGGACATCTCCCCACCATGATCTGTCACTCTAAGAGGGAAGGGGAAGGAAGGGGAGGAGAAGGAGCCAGGCCCATTATCCAGCTACCAGGGAAGCCGAGACAGAGCATCAAGGGTCGGGCCTGTCTGGGCCACACAAGTGCCACTCCCAAAACCCTGTCTCAAAATAAATGTTGAACAAGGGGGAGAGGCTAGGGGGATAGAAGTCAGTGGGAGAGAGCTTGCCTGGCGTGTGTGAGGCCCAAAGTTCAACTACCAGTAGTCCTGAAAAACAGAAATGGAAAATGTGGCGGCCTACTTAAGAGGTAAGGAGGCCTTGGGAAGAAAATACCAATGAAGAACAAGGCTCCCACTCGGCACCATCTATGAGCTCTCCACCCACCCCACCCACCTACAGTACAGGAGCCAGCCATTCCCAGCCAGGTAAAAATAATTGTCTGTTTCCAAGACAGTGTTTCTCTGTGTAACAGCCCTGGCTGTCCTGGAACTTGCTCTGTAGACCACTCTGGCCTTGAACTCACAGAGATTCAACAGTCTTTGCCTCCCAAATGCCATGACTAAAGGTTCACACCACCATCTGGCAGAATCATTTCCTTAAAGTACGTCAATTCTAATGGCATAGACATACCCAAACACCATTTCAAAAACAAAACAAAACAGAACAAAAAACTGATAATCCCCAAAAAGAAAACGTTCATGTATACAAAACAAACCTGCTTTTTTGCATCTTCAAGACTGGTGTCAGGACAAATCATTACATCACGGCTACACTGCACGGGGTCTTTCCCAGCCAGGCCTGCAACTGTGACTTTAATCTACAGAAAGAACAGATGTTCAAGAACATGGAAATACACAGACACAGGGCGACATTTAACACCCACCCTGCCAGGGAATACCACAAAACCAAGCTGAGGCAATGACCAGATATATTTAAAAGCAGGTATCTTCTGGTTTGCCCGGGGACAGTCCTCATTTGTAGCTGAGCCACAACCCCAGTTCTGACTGGCTAGAACAACCTCCATTCCACAAGTGTTGAGTTGGGAGATGAATTACAGAGTGACCCTATTAACAACCCATTTTGCAAGGTCACCGTTGCCATTTAAACCTCATGGATTTTTCCAAAGTAAAACAATTAAAGAATACTTTATCCTGTAAAACATTTAGTTGGTGGCATTACCAGCAGCCAGTACCTGAAACACGGGCGTTTCCCACAGTGCCGAGAGGACAACAGGTTAGCTCACTGAAGACAAGCTATCAAAATCTAGCAATGTTGATCAGAACAGTCCTGGCCCAGTAATCACACATTTAGGTGCAGAGCCTGAAAAACTGTCCTCACATTTGCACTGATAAAACCCACAAAAGAGCATTTGTAACAGAGGCTGGAGGGGTGGCTGGCGGTTCAGTGCGCCTGGATTTGGTTCCCACCACCCACACGGCAGCTCACTGCCCCCTAACTCTAGGTCTGGGGGATCAGGCACCCTCTTCTGGTCTCTTCCCGTACCGGGCACACATGTAGTGTGCAGACATACATGCAGGCCGACATTCATACACAGGAAAAAGTTAAAAATCTTAATTCTTTACTCGAGCATGATAAGGCTGTGACTGGAGGGGAGGGTGGTCCATTTGCCTGTGTAGCACTGAGCAGGATTGGAAATGAGGAAGCTGCAGTTCCATTTTGGAGAAAAGAATGGAAATAACAAACTGCCCGGGCCTGCGCTCTGCTCAATCAGTGAATCAGCACAGCTGAGCACCCCTGCCTGGGTTCTTCAGGCAGAGGCAGAGGCAGCTGAGTTAGCCAGGTTTGTGTAAATGCTCAGAGTGAACCTGGCAAACACGAGTGTGTTCCCTGTCCACGTAAGCACAGGATTCGAAGCACAGGCTCATGCACGGGACAGCACACATCAGTCTGAGAACAGCCATGTCTGGGCAAGGAGGAATGGGCACATGACTGAGGAAACTCACAAAGGGGCTGCAGGAAAAGCTCCAGCCTCAAAGCATTTACTTTAAAAAACAGAAGCAAACAAACAAACTGTGTGCAGGCCAGGGGTGTTGGCCCATGCCTGTTATCCCAACTACTCAGGGGCTGAGGCAGAACAGCCTGAACGCAGGGTACAGGGAAACACACGCACGTCCCTTGAATGAATGAATGAATGAATGACTGAATGAATGAATGAATGAAACTTAAAAAGGGTCTGAAAGAAATAAGGCAAAGTGTCACACTCTGCACAAGTCAGCAGTGAGCCAGGATTGGGGAAGTTGAGGCAAGAACTCAAAGCCATCTTGAGCTACATGGTAAGTTCCATGTCGGCTTGGTCTAGAGGGTGGAACCCTATCTCAAAAGAGCAGTGAACAACACCAGTACGCCATTACATAACCACTGTAGCTCTGTAAACGTAGGACTGGCAAGACGGCTCACCAGGGAAAGGCACTCGCCTCCAAGCCTGAGGAGACTTCAGCCTAATCCCAGGGTGGAGGAGAACCAGCTCACACAGTTTGCCCTTTGACCTCCACACCTGCACCACAGGATGCAGGCTCACACACAACCAGCAAGTAAAACAGGGAGGGCTAGCCCACGAGGGGGACTCACCCCGGCTCGTCGCATCACATCCACCGGGATCACCGTCTCCATCTCCTCTGCGCCTTTGGCCAAGATGACCAGAGCTCGTTTGGAAGCCATTTCTACGTCTTAGAGACTTAAAAGAAAAGGAAGCTTTAGAAAGTTGCCAATGTAGCCAGATGGTGGTGGTGCACACCTTTAATCCCAGCACTTGGGAGGCAGAGGCAGGCGGATCTCTGTCATTTCAAGACCAGCCTGGTTTACAAGAGCTACTTCCAGGACAGCCTGGAACTGAAACCCTATCTGGAAAACAAACAACAAAGTTGCCAATGTAATAACCACCTGAACGGTGTAAATATCTTCCAGAAAACAGGTTGGGGTAAATTAAAGCAAGCCGTTTAGGTCAATACTGGTTTACATGGTAGAGTTTTGGTCGTTAACTCTGGGATGTAAACAGGGTGGCTGGGCTGGAGAGATGCGGTTAAGAGCAGAGGGCCAAGGTTTTGTTCCCAGCATCCACACGGCAGCTCACAAGTCTGTAACTCCAGTTCCAGGAGATCGGGCCCCCGCTTCTGTCCTCCGCGGGCACTGTGCGTACATGCATGCAGGCAAACCCTCATGCACCAAAAATCCTTTTAAAAACATAAAGCAGGTGTTTCTGACACGTGTTAGTATTGTTTGGATGTTCCTTTGCTGTGCTTTCTTAGGTCAAATTTCCTACAGAGGCATGTCACATCATGGGCCCTGCCTGCCGGTCACACTGATTTAAGAAAGGCGGACTTTCTTCAACTACTGTGATTAAACAAAACGACTCAAGTTCACGGGCCACAAAAGCAAGTGCACAGTCTGTAAACGTGTAAATTCTGGACGTTTGCTATTGTTATTGTTCCAATAAACCGTGCTGAACCCTCGGGGCCAGGTTGGCGGAGACCAATGGTGGTCAATGTCTGACCACACCATTCATGGTGAGAGATGGGAATTCCTTTCATGAAGCCCAGGCTGCTAGACGCCTCTCGGGCACACTCTCCGCGTGCTTTCCCAGCACGCTTGCCCTGCACAACCTCAAAGCCTTCCAGTAATGCTCACTCGCTACAACCCACGGGGTGTCGTGCAGAGCTCGGGCCCGGCATGCACCGCGGCCGCCGCCCGCAGCCCGGGACCCTCCCCGGGCAGCGGTGGACGACCGTGCCGCTCTGCTCCCGGGGCTGACCTGCACCCGCGCCTCCTCCACCCACGCGAAGCCTCGCTCGGTTCCGCAGCACAGCCCGGCCCAGTCACGGTCGCAGAGCAATCCGTCAGCACGCATGCGCGCCGCGCGCGCCGAGGCTGCGCGGGTCCCCGCGCTTCCGCCGCTGGGTGCGTCACATCCGGTCGGGAGCATCCCCCGGGATGATGTGCAGGCGATGGTTGCTAGGGCTACGCTGACCGCGCGCATCTCCCCTCAGCCAATGGTACGGGCCCGCTGCGGGCGCCTGCGCATTTGACTCTCTGTGGGACCAAGGTGCTTAGAGGTCCAAGCATGAGATTGGTCGCGAGTTCGAGGCCAGGCTAGGCTAGATCATCTCCTTTCCCCCCCCCCGCCGTCTCTCTCTCTCTCTCTCTCTCTCTCTCTCTCTCTCACACACACACACACAGAGAGAGAGAGAGAGAGAGAGAGAGAGAGAGAGGTTCTAGCCTAGCCTGGCCTCGAACTCACATCTCATGCCTGGGCTTTTATTTTCTCTTCCCTTCGCGTGCATATGAGAAATTAAAGCCAGACATAGTTGCCCACACTTGTTTGTAAACCTAGTATTTGAGAGAAGGAGGCCAAAGTTCAAGGTCATTTACATCACTTTTCTGGTGCGCTGTTTCCCCTTCTTGCCCCTTACTGTGGCACGCCCTCTTTTCACCCCTGGCCTGCTAATACCCCATTAAGAGAACTTGCTGTCTTTGCAGAGGACCCACGTTTGGTTCCCAGCTCCCGTAAGGGAGACTCGCTACTGCCTGTAACTCCAGTTCCCGGGGAATCCACCGGCCCTTCACTCACATGCACAAACACAAATAATAAAAGGCCCACGGCACCCTCGGTAGAGCAAGGCTGACCTGACGTCTCCAGTATGTTTTTAATGGGTTATTTAGATTGTATGGTTTTATTTCCATTTTTTACATTTGTTTGGTTTACATTTGTTTCTTGTGTGTGCACCTAACCTGTGTTAAGAGTGCAGGGGTTGGGTCGGAGAAGGCTGCTTGCTGGAATCTGTTCTTTCCTCATCACATAGGGCCCCAGGGGTGGGACTCAGGTCATCCGGTGCAGCAGGGTATCTTTACCTGCTAAGTTTTTTACCCTCCTAAGTTTTTAGTTAATATGTTACCAGCTTAAGGGGGGGGGGCTCCTGCTCACCTGGCCCCATCCCTCCCCCACCAGGAAGTACCAGCTCATTTGCCACGAACCCCACACAGCATCTACGGTTGCTATATGAAGAGATCGAATGGCCCACATACATTGGCTGACCTCCATTACAGGTTCATTTTAGAAATCTTGCTGGAAACTCTTACCACAGTGGGAGTGTCTTGTTTTTAAGTTTCAAAGTTGTTAAGTCACGTAGACAACACCATACTTGAGCCAATGTTTGGTGCTGTTTAGGGATTTAAAAAGAAACCGTTTTTTAGGAGTTCTCGAATGGCTTGGCTTCTCGCTGTCTGCAAAGGGAAAGGGCATAGCCCTTCAGTTTTGAAGGTGTACAAATCTGGGGTGACAGACAGAAAGACACAGGGGCAACTTGTCAGGTGTGTGCCCGGAGGCCGTTGGGCTCGTGCCTGTAATCCCAGAATGAAATCTACCTCTAGGGGGACACGTGCCCTTGTCTCTTCACTTCAGTGTGACAGTTCAGGGACCTGGCTAGGGGACACCCCAGGAAGGCGGCTTCACTTTTAGAAGGTGACCTCTGTGGCCAGATGGTGGTGGGGCTGTTCGAGGGCAACACACACAGCTGCCACTCTGACATCTCCACACCACCACGGAGCCTGAAATGCAGCTGAAACAGCGATGGTTTTATCCAATAAATGTTAAGTCTCAAACCCCGGGACAAAAGGAGGTGCATATTTAACCAATCAAGGTGGACCTGACCACCAGGGTCTCCCAGCATCCCTCAGTCCCTACCTGTTCCAGAGCATGGCTGGTACACCTGGCCCTCTACCCCAGACTCTCCAGTGCAGGGACTGAGCTGCCCTTCCCTGCATTTTTGCTATACCACCCTCTTGGCCAGTCTCTTGGCCCAGGCAGCCCCTCTTAATCTTCAGCCCCTCTCCTGCTCTCCTCACGCGGCTCAGGGCTATGTCCACTCTGGACTCTCCCAATGTCTCTGTCTCTACTCTCTTTTATCTACAATGAACTTTCTCCTCCACCACACCTAGGAGCTGTTGTGTCCTTTTCTATTTATTTCTTTTTTTCATTCAATGAATACCCTGCACACAGTTTTAAAACCCAAGTACTGGGGCGGAAGAAATGGCTCAGTGTTCGCAGAGAACCTGGTTTCCGTTCCCAGCACCCACTTCAGGTGGCTCACAATGGCCTGGAACACCAACTTCAAGGGCTCCGCCCACCCCACGGTGGCATTTGCACTCACACGTACAGAAAGGAACATAATTAAAAATGAAAGGAATCTTTAAACTTTGTCAAATATTACTTAATATCAGTTAGGGTAGATGGACTCTCCCTCCAACCCCAGATAGTCCTTCCCTTCCACTGCATGCACCTGTGCATTTCCCCTCCTCTCTGGGTCCCAGTCTTGCCAGGGGAATGTAAAGGCAGGGTTGAGCAAAGCTCCCTGGGAAGAGCTTCCCTCCAAAGCGACTGTCTGGGTCCTTCAGAACATGTGGGGAACAGACTTTACTATAAAGTAGGCCCTAGCTCACACATCAGGAACCCCTGGGCTTCTATCCCTCATAGCCCAACTCTTTACTTATCTTCTCTGCTAATGAGCTCAGTCTTATTTATTTATTTATTTATTTATTTATTCATTCATTCATTTAAGAGGGTCTCACTATGAGGCCCTGGCTGTTCTTTGACTCACAGAGACCTGCCTGCTTCTGCCTCTTGAGTGCTGGGGTTAAAAGCATGTGCTATACACCCGGCTTGATCCCAGTATTTTTTTGCCAGCAGGCTAATGTTTGTTTTCTCGTTGATTTTGGAAGGTGTCTGTGATGGTTACTATTGTCAATGTGACAAGATGTAGCAGCACCACAGAAGCAAGCCTCAAGAGTTACTTGAGGTGGAAAGACAGCTGTAAATGTGGGTAGCACCATCCCATGGGGTCTGGGGTGGGGCAGTCCCTGAATGCACAAAAAACAAGGCAAACAGCACTGGCGTTCACAGATCCACTTCCTGAGCGCTGATGCAGAGTGACCAGATGCCCTGTCATGGCGGACCACATCCCTCCACTGTAAACGGGAATAAACCCTCCATTCCTTAAGTTACTCTAGGTATTCTGTCCCAGCAAGGAGAAAAGGAACTAATACCGTATCATAATTTCCATTTTACAGATATGAAGACTGAGGTAGAGTAGAATGAATATAAGATTTTGCAGTCTTGGAAAAACTCCAGATAGTCTGTTGCCAGAATTCACACTCTGCCCACCATACACGCGGTCAGCCTTAGTATAGAGTGCCAGTAACTGTCATGACAATGCAGATACTTCTCATCACACATTTACACAAGAAAGCCAAAAAACTCCAATCATTTACCAAAATAGACCGCTCTAATGCTAGTTAAGAAGACACCTCTTAGTCAGAACAGCCCCAGTCACTCAACGTTTACAAGTCATTATGCATGGTGGGAAGTCGGTGTGTTGGAAGCAATCGCTGCATTTGATCTCTTTCTCACATCACGGTCATTTGAGCAGACGGTGCCTGTGACACGTGCACTTGCAGCGTGAGTTAACGTTTTTCACCTCTTGCTTCCCTGAATTTAAGCCACAGATACTGGGCGGAAGAAAGGCCTTTGGGACATCTACCGAAATAGGAGAATAAAGTTTGTTTGGTTTTTTGTTGTTGTTTTGTTTTGAGGTTGTCCCACATTGCAGCTCAGTCCCGACTAGAACTCGAGCTCGCGGCCATCCTCCTGCCTCTGATCCCCGAGGGCTTGCGCCTCCACGCCCAGCTGCTGCGCAGGTTTCCAAGGTCGCGGAGAACTTCCCCCTCGAAGCTCACGAAAGGCCAGGTGGGCGCGACCGGAGAGTGGGCGAGCCCTGACCTTTGAGGCGCTGCTGGCGCCAGGGGGAAATTCTGACTCGCGGTTCCGTGAGGACCCGAGCCCCGCTCCGCCTCGGCCCGGACCGTGGGAACAGCGTCCCGAGGGCTGACCACCCGGAACGCCTCCGACGGACCGCCGGCCGCCGGAAATAGGTCGGCCGAGCCGCAGAGACGCACGACTGACTTCCGGCAGCCGCGGCGCCGGCGATTGGCTCAACCAGCCGCAGTGGGCGGGCGTGGGAGCCGCCCTGCGGGACTCAGTGCGCTTGCGCAGTCCCCGCCGGAAGGTCTCCTGGGCCGCGCGCGCTGCGGTCCCCGGTCGCCCCGGAGTCACGGAGAGCTGCGACTTTGCGGACTTCCTGGGCGGAAGAAGGTGTGACGCGCTTGCTGGTGGGGCAGGCGAATGAGCTGGCAAGAAAATGACACTGCTTAGTGAATTGGCAGCCCTGGGGCCCCGGCTGCCTCGACGTGTTTGAAGACACTGAGAGCTGGGGCAGAAATGAAAATATTATAGAGGGACGCCGTGTCTCAGTCTATCAGACTGCTAAAATAAGTAAGTAGGTAAATAAATAAATAAACAAGCAAATAAATAAATAAATGGCCCCAAAGAACTGAGAGCTGGGGCAGAAATAAAAATATTATAAAGAGACGCCGTGTCTCAGTCTATCAGACTGCTAAAATAAGTAAGTAAATAAATGAAAAAATAAATAAACAAGCAAATAAATAAACAAATGGCCCCAAAGAAATGGGAATGCTCCCAGGAAGGGAAAGGAACCCCAGTGACCGATTGCACACAGTTCTAACAACCTGTCAGACCACCTTACAGATCAGACGGAAGCCCAGGCAGAGATGGGTCACTGGTGGGCAGGATCACAGCGTGACCTGCGAGTGCGCCCACGTGCATATCCTTGGCCCTTTATTAAAACTGGACAAGGTCCAGATCATAAAGATGACTTAAGGCATTTCTGTGCATGTCTCTGTCCCTCTCCCCTGTGTGGCCACACTGAATAAATCCAGTCCGTCTCTGCTTTTCACTGTTAATTCA